TTAACAGAAAGACCAAGAATTTGATCATTCAGTCTGAGATTGGATCTCAGCAGTCTCAATCTGTTATAGGGTTCTGGAGAATTCCTTGAGAGCTGTTGGTGTTCAGTCTATATTGGAATCCAGAAGTGGATTCAAATGCCAGGAAGGGATGCCTCAGCAAATGGATAGGAAACTTGCTGGTGAAAATGGAACAAACAGGCAAAAAGCAAAAGCTTCCTTCTTTCAAGTCCTTTAATGTAGAATGCCATCAGAAGATTTGGTCTTGAACTCAAGAGATCCTCCCTCTGCCTCCAAGTGCTGGGATTAAAGTTGTGTGCCACCACACCTAGACACTCACATAGGGCTATCTGATAAGACATGAAAGGAATCTGGCAGTCTTGGGCACATTGACTACTATTAATTCAATGCTATAACAGATTCCCTGTAGTCTAAAAGACCTTGATAAAGTAATGACCTCTAATAAATCATTCATGGTTTTCATTCTGTGATGGCAGAAACCATAAAGAACACTGGAGGCCTTCCAGCACTGAGGAAGAAGCAGAAAGAACTTGAAGCCAGTCAAGAGTTACAAAGTTAGGCCCTGACTCTAAAAACAATGAAGCCAGTTCGAAGTAGTGCACTTTAATCCTAGCACGCAGGAGGAAGAGGCAGAAAGATCTCTAATCAGGCTGGCCTGATTTACATAGAGATACACACCAGCCAACACTGACAAGGATACTGTGCCCCCCTCCAAAAAACAAAAGAATGAATACTGAGATTATTTTACTCACGTAACTTTGTAGAAACACATCAAAACATTAAAACATTAATTAAATGTTTAATGCTTTAAATAATTAAAGCATGCAGAACATTAAAAAAACTATTTGTTAAGTATGTTATCACAAACATCTGGATATATATGGAATGCTAGAGATTTTGTCAAAGGGTTCCATTTCAAATAGCAATCATAGTAAAATGTCTAGAAGTATAAAAACTTCTATTTTTTTTTTCTGAAGACAATCCTTACAATAGTTTCTAAGAGGACATGACCTTATAAAAAATTGGAAGGTGGGTAAAAGCTGTTTGTTTCTATTTGGTGTCCGGATGTGCCTTCAAATGAGCCTTCCTCAGATGTGAACAAGTTGTGGTTTTCTTGAGACACTGAAGAGGTGAAGTGAAATTCAATGGAATAATTTTATCCTGAGTACTGGTGTAGTGCCTGAGCTGAAACCCCGGCCTATTTATGGTGTTGTTCCAGGAAAGAGTCAGATGAGATATGCTACATTCTAGTAACCATTCCAATTATTTCTGTTTTTAAAATAGTCAAGTGTAAAAGTGGTGGTACATGCTTACTATCCCAAAACTCAGGAGAGAGAGGCAAGAGACAGGATTGTTTCTGTACACGCTCAACCACACAGGGAGTGCTCATGGACACTCAACCACACAGGGAGTCTGAAGCCAGAATGGCCTCCATGAAACTATCTCAACTTCCCGGCCAAAAGAACGCAACTGCCATATAGATACAGAGTATATGATACATTAACAAGTTCCTCACAAAATACAAACCAATGCAATTACTTTTACTATCTATTTAAAAATACTCCAGATAAAACAACAAAGAACAAAACGCTCAGAGATGGAGGTGGGCATATGGCTCCATTGCAATCCCAGCACTGGAGGGGGAATGAACATGAGTATGAAGTAGGATTGCCACATGCAGGCCAGCCTAGGCTACACAGAGACCTCGTCTCACAAACAAGTAAATAAAACCCCACTGGGCTTAGTGGCACACACCTTCACCCTCAGCATTCTCCTGAAAGAGGCAGGTGATTTTTAAATTTGAGGTCAGCCTGGTCCACACAGCAAGCTCTAGGGTAGCCAGGGCTACATAGTGAAATCATGTCTCAATAAAAATCAACCAACCAAATAAAAAAAACCCAAAACAAAAGTCTACATTCTTGTATCAGTTTAAAGAAAATGAGTTACAGGGGCTAATATTTGTTTCCCAAGACAGGATTTCTCTGTGCAACAGCAGTTGGATGTGTCTCAGTCTCTTGAGTGCTGGGATTAAAGGTGTGTGCCACCATTTCCAGATAATACTTCTGGGTTTTGCTCCTGCCTACCCCAACCATAGTCCTTCTATGTGACCTACAACACGAGGTTACATTTTTTGGGGTCTCAATTTTGTTTTGTTTTCTTTTTCCTTTTTTTCGAACAGGTTTCTCTGTGTAGCCATGGCTGTCCTGGAACTCACTCTGTAGACCAGGCTGGCCTCAAAGGATTAAAAGCGGAGTCACCACTTCCCAGCTAGTTTTTAAATTTATGAAATGTAGACATTTTCTCTCATGTCTCCCTCACAGGGGATTTCTTTCTGACAAGGTATTTTGGCTTTTGGGTTGTACTGGAGGTACAGTACAAGCTCCTGAGCATGCTAGGCAAGCGCTCCACATGGGCTCTGTCCTTAACTCAAGCATGCTATTCTTAATAAACTCAAAGAGGCACTAACGTTTACCCAAGAACTACATTCAAGATTTACATACAGCATCACAGTTATTTTCAAATTTGTGATGGGATTTCATAAAATATCACCACAGCAAATTTAGGTCAAATGGTCTCAAGTAGCTGAACCATATGGATCAGAACTGTTTAGAAATTACACTAACCTCTGATTAGTTAAGGTTTTTGCCCAAGCTCATTAAGCAGACCAAGATGACCTTGAATCTCCACCTTCCAGATTCATTTCCCAAGTGCTGAGATTACACCACCACAGGTTTCAGGGATGGAACCCAGGTCCTCATACATAAATACATACAAGTTGAGTACAATGCCCATTGAGCTACATTCCTAACTCCATGAATCTATTAACCTAATAATTAAGACCAAGGAAGTGGGGGAAGGGGGCTCATGGAGATAGGAACGGATGACACACAATACTTCTTTGGTTGTTTTTAAAAGTAAGTAATTGGGGCTGGTAGGGGTGGCACACGCCTTTAATCCCAACATTTGAGAGATTTGAGAGGCAGAGGCAGACAGTGAGTTCAAGGCCAGCCTGGACTACAGAATGAGTTTTAGGACATCCAGAGCTACACAGAGAAACCCCTTCTGGAAAAAAAATTAATAAATAAAACATACACACACACAATAAAAAGAAGTAAAGGGCCAGAAGATGGCTCAGCAGGTAAAGGCACTTGCCACCAAGCCTGAAGTACTGAGTTTTATCTCCACCTAGGAACCACATGGAGAGCACTGACTCCTCCCTCTGACCTCTGCACACGCGTGCGCATACACATTAAGTAAATAGAATTTTAAAAAGTATAAAATTTTCAACATTAGGACCACCCCACAGAATCTGAGAGAAATATGAATGGGGTACGCTTAAACACATTAAGGCCAGACACAAGCCAAAACCAAAAAAATGCAACAAAAATTCCACTTTAAATATGCTCAGGGTAATACTCACTGAATGCAGAGAGTTTATAGTCCCAGAGGAAGCAGCTACAATAGGAAAGGAAAGCTATTTTGTCTCTGGCATGAATCTTCTTCTTTCCAATTCCATTCCTTCTTGCAATACCTAAGACAGAAAGGCAAGTGTCAGTGAACAAAGCCTGCACATGCAGAGGTTTTTGCAGAAGTTACAAAATGTTTGTTTGTTTATTGAGTCAAGGTTTCTCTGTGTAGCCCTGGATGTTCTGGAGACCAGGCTGGCCTGGAACTCAGACCTGCCTCTACCTCCCCAGCGTGGGGATTAAAGGTGTGCTCTACCACACCCAGCTTTACATCAGGCTTATTTTAATTTAAGACAAACAAAAGTCAAGAGAGTTTACCACAGAAAATATTTTCAGATTCCTGGGATAAGTCCTGGGATGAAAAGCTTGTACCACCACCGCCAGGCTAGAAAGTTACAATTTAACAGGAAAACTTTTGACACAAACAAAACCAGATGGAGAATAAGGGTCTTTCTTCTTTCTTCAAAACATTTCTAATGCTAAATATGAGACAAGAAACAGAAGTCCCATGGAAGATCAAAGGCTATATTCTACTTGAATAAGTCACACATTAGTAACCCCCACAATTCCCCATAGTGATATTTTATCTATGTCCTAATAGATAAAGCTTGCCTGAAGATCAGAAAAGCAAAGCATCCAGGCCACTAGAGAGTTCTTACCAAGGCTTAGACTAAGGAGCCATCCTGTCCTCAGAGTGCAGAGACTGTACTGCTCTCCAGACTGCAGTCAGCTTCTGCCTTTTCCCGCCTTATATTCCTCTCTCTACCCAGCCAACACTCCTGTCTCCACCTCCCAAGTGCTGGGATTAAAGGCGTGTACTCCAGAATGTTAGGATTAAAGATGTGAGCCACCATTGCCTGGCCTCTAGTGGTTTAACTCCGCATTCTGATCTTTAGGCAAGCTTTGTTTATTAAAACACAAATAAAATGCCATTATACCCGCCCAACACATTGAGGTCAATCAAAATTTGCTCTCCAGCTCGCTATCACTTTGAGCTTTCCACAGGTTAAAGCATACAAACATACTCCCAAGTCTTAAAAAATTACCTGACAACATGCTAGGCCCCTGAGAACAAGGCATCTTGTGCCAGGAGGAAATAGTAAGTGTTGGTGGAGCCATTCATCCTTACAATAAATCTCTTCACAACCTCTTCCACCTTCCCCACTTCCCCAGTACTACAGAATTTATGCAAAGCAGACTCCAGGCCCCACCCACTGAATCCTAAGAGAGGGCAATGAAAGCAGATAGGCCAGGAGGAATAAGTGAGCAAAGAGGAGTCAGATGAGGGCATGGAATGAAGGACAAAACACACAGCTCCGAGGAGGAGCATAAAACCCAAAGTTAAAGAGGAAGGGATGATAGTAGGCAAGGGGGGGGGGTCTACAAGTAGATGTGGAAAATGGAGCGGGAGGGGAAAAAAAGAAGAGGAAAAAGTGGGAGAGTGAAGCAAGAAAAGGATAAGACAAGAGGGAAAGAAGAGGCCGGAGCCGGAAGGGGTAGAACAGGCAGACGAAAATGGTGAAAAGGAGGATGTGGGACAGGAGAGTACAGGGCGCTGGGGGAGTTGAGGAAACGACAGAGCGACGGGTAGAGCAACTGGGTCCGGGCCGCGGGGGTGGAATCCAGACGCCGGGCGGGGGAGGGGGGAGAAGCTGGGTGGGGGGCCACCAGGCGGCGCAGGAGACCACCAAACTTTCCTCCGACTGTTTCCTGGAGGGAGTTCAGGCACGAAGGCTACGGGAGCTGCCTCGCCACCTTGGCCGGGGCCGATTACGGCCACCAGACCCCTGGGCACACGGCCTCACGATCTCGTTGGTCCCCGGCGGGGACACGCAGCCCAAGGAGGCCTTGCCCACCCGCGGTGGCCGCCTCCGTGAGCCCCTCCCCCACGGCGCCCCGGGACCCCTCGCCCTGCACCTCGGGACCCCAGGCTCCAGGATACTGTCCGCTCGGAGCTGAGCAGGCCTCGAGAAGGCCTGGCAAGAGAAAGCACGGCACAGCCCCCCCCCCCCCCAAGAATTTCCCACCTTTTCTCCTGACCCAGACGCGGCCGGGGCGGACGGGACCTCTCGCGCTCTACCTTCTCTTCCTCCTGCTTCATGGAGCCATGCGTCTGGGTGGAGGCTCCCGAGAAAAGCCGAGTCCCAAGGCGGGTGAGGACGCCCGAAGGAGGCCGGCAGGAGGGCAGAGGAGGAAGCAGCGGGGCGGCGGCGGCCGGGGAGAACTAGAGGTATTCCCGGGGCGGGTGGAGGACTGAGTCGAGTCGGGACCCGAGTCCTCCTCTATCCCAGCAACCACCGGAGGCAGTGAGGTAATGGAGGAAGAATGTAGGGAGTCCTCCAGTGGACCAAACGTCCTCTAGCGAGTCGGTGAGAACCATAGAGATCCCGGAGCTCTGGGAGTACCGCCCCACTAGTCACGTGGCCTTAGTCCGCACATTTTTGTGATTGGCGCTGCTTATCGTATAGGCAGCTGCCTTTCGTTTGTGGGCGCCGAGTCTCAGGCAGGTGATAGTGAGAGAAGCCCTCCGGGAAGACCTGGACCCTACTGGGGTCCCCTTGCGGGCGCGGAGCCCACCCAGTGCGGCTCACGGATGTCAGGCCGGCCGGCGCAGGGTTTGCCGGGTCAGCCCGGCCAGGCCGCGGCGCAGAGCACGCCGGGAGTTGTAGTTCTAGTCGCGCGACAGCTTTGTCCTGGAGGCTGCAAGTGGCACTTGGAGCTGCAGCCTAGGGAGCTCCGGCCATACCCGAGCGGTCGCCCACGTTAGCAACGCAATTCGGAACTGTCAACGGCTTTTCTCCCCAGGCGCCCACGCTCACATCACTTGGCCTGACCGAGTGTCCGCCTTCGAAAGTGGCTTGAAAGTGGGCAGCTTAGATCAAGCCAAAGGCTGCCAGAACCAGGCCCACCGAGAGTGTTCCAGGCTGAATGTCAGACTTGGCACCTGGCCTCTTTAGCTTCCCTTTGCGCTGTAGAAGGGCAGGCTGACTCAGCTTTAGGGGTGGCCCAGGCCGCATCTACTCACGTCTGTGATTCATCACCAGAAGCCCCAGATGACATCAGTAGAATACCCATGTATAGGATTAGGCTAGGACGACTAAGCAGTCCCAGAAACTGAAGAGGCTTAAGTAGAATGAGTGGGTTCCTAGCATCCACATGGCAGCTCACAACAGTTTGTAACTCCAGTTCCGAGAGATCGCACACCCCTTCCTAGCCTCCCAGGCATCACATACATGAGCTGCACATGAACACAAGCAGACACATACATACACATAAATGTCTGATTTTAAAGTCTATTAGTACATGTTTACTTGTAGGAAACAAAGCCTGAGGGAACGGAATGTTCAGTGTTTTTGGAGTCAAGCTTTGAGAATCTAGCAAAAGATTGAGAATCCAGCAAAAGATTTCGAGAAAGAGTAACGACACCCTATGCTTTATGAAAAGGATCTCTACAGCAGTCTTTATAATTACTATAAACCTCACAGACTTGAAGTGCTTATTGCTGTTGAGGGCAGGTTTGGCAGTGTCTGACTTTCCCTGTCTGCCTGAGAAACTGAAAACTGTATGATCATGTGGCTTAGAGCCAGAAAGAAGGAAGCAGAAAACCAGAGATGGGGGTGGTGGTTGTTGTTATTGTTTGTTTTTGAGAAGGGGTTTCTCTGTGTAACAGCCCTGGCTGTCCTGGAACTCACTCTGTAGACCAGGCTTGCTTTGAACTTGCTTTGAGATTCGCCTGCCTCCCGAGTGCTGGGTTTAAAGACGTGTGCCGCCACCACCACCCAGCCCCAGAGATCAGATTTTTGTGATTTTCTTTATCTTTTTCTCTTTTGAATAAGAAGCAAATTCCAACTGTAATCAAAATAAATTTCCCACAGTGAAGGTTTTTTCTGACTGAATGTTTTAGAACGTGACGTCTGGGAAAAGGCCTCGGTCTATTGCTCCCAGGGTGGTGCTTTACCGTCATTAAACAGCCCAGAGCTAGGGGAGATATTACTCCCTGGTTGCCAAACTGCCAGGAGGTAAATCCTGCTCTGTAGACCAGGCTGGTCTCGAACTCTCAGCAATCCACCTGTCCTTGCCTCCTGGGATTAAAGGTGGGTGCCACCACCACCCAGCACTGCCTTTGTCTTTAACTGATACTGAAAGGCAGGGGAACAGAATTTAGAAAAAAAAAAAAACAGTGTCATCTCATCTGCAAGCAATGGTCAGAACTGATGAAACAAACACAGTGGGTCTGTAGCTCTGTGTGGTACAGCTTTGCCTTGCATGCGTACGGTTAGAGATTCAGTCTCTACTACCATGGGAGAAAGAAAAGCAGGATGGAATTTGAGCAAGAGAAAGAAACTGGAGGCAATAGATGTCTTCAGTATGGCAAGGGTTGTGGTATTTCTTATTTTCTGCTTGTAACACAGAAAACCCACCTCTACCCCAACAGGGTTTCTCTGTGTAGCAATGGCTGTCTTGAAACTCTATAGACCATGCAGGCTTTGAATTTGGAAATCTGCCTGCCTTTGCTTTCCAAATGCTGGGAGTAAAGGTGCGTGCCAACACCTTCCAGCAATGTAATACAGAAATCTAGTCTAATCTAAATCCAATCTAATGGAAAAGGGAAAATACTCCAAAGCTTAGTGGTCCCCAGCATTCTGCCTGATCCTGACATGTTGCCCTAAGCTGCCCTAACATGGCTCTGCTACTTACCAGAAAACTGTCCCCTGGGGTGGATACCATATAGATGGTCAGCTTTCCCTCATTTCTTACTTTGAATGTTAAGACAATGCTGTCATGATTAAGAGCGTTCACTCTGGACTCAGACTTCATGATTTCAAATTCCAGCCCTCACTCTGAATTTTTTTATGAACATGCTTATGTGTTATTGAGTCAGTATTTGCAAAACATAATTATAGCATTACCTACCTCAAAGGATTATTATGAAATATTATCTGTTTTGTTGTTGTTTTGCCATGGAGCCCAAGTTGGCCTGACACTACATACACAGTCAAGAATGACTTTGAACTCCTGATTCTCTGGTCTTATGTTTGCTTCTCTGCTGTTATGGTCATGTCACGGGACTCTCAAACAAGACCACCACAGAGCCGGTATCCGATGCAAACACATTGGGGTTTATTGATTACAGGTTAGCCAACTCTGTAATCCAACACACTGCCACAGCGGGGGGGGGGGGGAGTAGGGGGGGGGAGAACGGTCCGAGCTTTATAGGGTAAGCGGTTTTAAAGGGAAAACGGCAAGGCAGGGTGGCACAAGTTTTGGGATTGGGTGAAAGTATGCAACTTTTGAATTCATTGGTTGGAGCATACGAGAATCTTAAAACAGTCAAAACAGCAGTTAATCAGATACTTACAAGGACTTTTTTTTTAAAGATAGTAATATCTTTATTAAAAATTGATAGACATAGCAGCACTTTCAAGAGTTCATAGAAGGCAGGACGTGCTGACTTACAAGGACTTTTGAAGCCAGCAGATGTAAACAGATGTTGTTTGGACACCCTGGTGGAGTCACTTTGACCAAGGCAGACACAGTTTTTGGGGAATGCTTATGACTTTATTGGGCTGCATTCCCCCACCCAGTTAAATCCTGTCTAAAATGGATTTCTTTCTCAGAATGGAGTTTGTTCTGCTCCTTCAATGCTGGAATTACAGCTATTATTGTACCGTGTGTCCACAATTTTTCACGTGGTACTGAGGACTGTTCCCAGGGCTTTGCACGTGCTTCACGGGCACTCTGCCCAATAAACTACATCCCTAGCCTTAATGTTGTCTTCTTTATCTTTTTATAACATTTTTGAATTTTAAAAATATTTTTACATTATTTATTTTTATTTTGTGTCTATGAGTGTTTTATCTGTATGCATGTGTACCGTGTGCATGCAGTACCACAGAGACCAGATGAGGACATCAGATCCTCTTAGAACTGGAGCTAGAAGCTGGGCGGTGGTGGCACATGCATTTGGGAGGCAAAGATAGGCGGATCTCTGTGAGTTCCATTCTGGTCTACAAGATGAAAAACCAAAACCAAAACAAAACAAAACGAAGAAGAAGAAGAACTGGAGCTAGAGACAGTGATTAACTAGCTGCCATGTGGGTTCTGGAAATCAAAACTGACTTCTCTTGAAGAGCAGTCAGTGCTCTTAACTGCTAAGCTATCTCTCCAGCCCACTCATGGTTTTTTGTTTTGTTGTTTTTTTACTTTTTTGAGACAAGATCTTACTTTGTATTTTTTTTTGGGGGGGGGAGAGGTATTTATTTATTTTTGGTTTTTTTCGAGACAGGGTTTCACTGCAGCTTTGGAGCCTGTCCTGGAACTAGATCTTGTAGATCAGGCTGGCCTGGAACTCACAGAGATCCGCCTGTCTCTGCCTCCCAAGTGTTGGGATTAAAGGCGTGCACCACCACCACCCGGCTTGCTTTGTATTCTTAGCTGGCTTGGAACTTTCTATGTAGATCAGGCTGGCCTGAAACTCATAGAAGTCTGCCTGTCTCCTCCTACAGAGTACTGAGATTAAAGACACACACTGCCAGGTCTGGGTTGTTTGCTTATTGTTTGGTTGGTTAGTTTTTGTTTTTTTGAGTCAAAGTTTCTCAGTAGCTTTGGACTCTGTCCTGGAACTCACTCTGTAGACCAAACTGGCGTTGAACTCATAGAGATCTGCCTGCCTTTCTCTCCTGAGTGCTGGGATTAAAGGTCTGCACCAACAATACCTGACATAATTGTGTTTTTCTTTGAGATGGGTTGGCCTCAAATTTGAGATCCTTTTGTCTCCAGCTACTAAGTGTTAGCATTACAGGCATGCACCATTATGCCTGGCCAAAGGAATGAGTTTAATAGACAGACTTTTGAACAAAAACAACCAGATATACTGAGAGTGGAGAACAACTCCTTCCTAGGATGAAGAAGACTCTGGGTTTGATCCTCAGCTGGGGAAAAAAGAACCCAACAACAAAAACTAATAACAAACAAACAAGAGCTGGACATGGTACCACAGACCTTTTGTCCCCATGACTTTGAGAGGAAGATGCTGGCAGGTCTCCGCGAGTTCCAGGCCAGTCTGATCTATGTAGCAAATACATAGTGCCTGGGCTGCATAGTGAGACTGTCTCAAAAACAACAACAACAAAAATGTCTGAATTTAGTCCTTAGTATGGAATAAACTGGGTGTGTCATGTGGTCTGTGCTTGTAATTCCAACAAGCACAGTCGGAGAATCAGTAGGAATAGGAATTCAGTGTCATCCTTGACTACATAAAAGATTCAAGGTCCTGCCGAAAATAACAAAACCAAGCATAGCTACCTGGGAGGCTGACACCGGCAGATTGGAAGTTCAAGGTCAGCTTGTACAACTAAACTGAAGCGGTTCAGTGAGCTCAGTGCTAGAGGGAATGTTCGGTATGGAGGTCCTGGGTTTGATCACTAGCTCCAAAACAAAACAGAAGGAAACCAGAACACCAAATGCCGAAAATGGGTTTGGGTGAGAGATGCGTCTCAGTATTGAAGCTCATACTTGGCAATTATGAAACCTTTTATTCAATCCCAGGACAGGATCTGAGTCAGGGGCAATCAGATATGTTTTAAAAGATGGAATGAACCAAGTAGTGGTGGCACACACCTTTAATTCCCCTTTAATTTCGGCACTCGGGAGGCAGGGGCAGGTGGATTTATGTGAGTTCAAGGCCAGCCTGGTCTACAAAGCAAGTGCCAGGACAGGCTCCAAAGCTACACAAAGAAACTTGTCTTGAAAACCAAAACAAAACAAAAAGAAAAAAAAAACAACAATAACAAGAAAAAAAAACATAAAAGATAGAACGAACCCTAATTCTGGTATGAACTTACAGAATCTTAGAAAAGAATATTCTTAATGTTGCACAAAGAAACACATGAATAAGGCAAAAGAAACCTGGCAAGGCAATTTCTTTTGTTAAAAAACAAAAAAATGGCTGGGTGGTGGTGGTGCATGCCTTTAATCCCAGCAGTCAGGAGGCAGAAGCAGGCAGATCTCTGTGAGTTCAAGGCCAGTCTGGTCTACAAGAGCTAGTTCCAGAATAGGACCCAAAGCTACAGAGAAACCCTATCTCCAAAAACAAAAACAAAAACAAAATGTACTATAGGTACCAAATTGGCTAGTACACAATACATGGCCAAGATAAACTCTGTCCTTTATCCCTAATGCAGGGTGTAGCTAGGCTGCTCAGCTTAAACCTCACAGCATCCTTTTTATTGACCAATCCAGACAGGGGCACTAAGGAAATGAAGGAGAAGGGACAACTACTTTATAACAGGACCTTTTCTTTTCCTTTTTTTTTTAAAAAAAATATTTATTTATTATGTATACAGTGTTCTGTCAGCATGTATGCCTGCAGACCAGAAGAGGGCACCAGATCTCATTACAGGTGGTGGTAAGTAACCATGTGGTTGCTGGGAATTGAACTCAGGATCTCTGGAAGAGCAGTCAGTGCTCTTAACCGGGAAACCATCTCTCCAGCCCCAGGGCCTTTTCTTAAACAAAAATTTTGGTGATTGGGAGGGTTTAAAATATTTGCAAGACCGGGTGGTGGTGGTTGTCCAGATCTATGATCCCAACACTTGGGAAGCAGATGCAAGCAAGGTGAGGTCTCTGTATATTTGAGACCAGTCTGG